AAAAAAAATATTGTAATCCCTATATACAGCAGTGTTTCTCACTCAGTTTTGGACATTTGGTACTTCCTTGGACATTTAAGCTTTGTTTAAGTTCCTTGGTTCTTTATAATTTAGAAAATAACAATATTATACAGCTGTGTAAAAAGAGGTAGTATAAACGTATCCTCATGGACAATCTAATACATACAACTGAAATTTTAGAGAAGCTCCACAGCACTGTGTGGAACATGACCCTAACAAGCATGTGTGTTTTATGCATTAAAAAAACTCCCGAGAGTGTGATTGTGAGGATAAGAAAGAAACTTTCTATGTACCTTTCTGTTCTGTCTGAATGTTTTGTCTTTATTAATTTCTCTCACTCCAGTGTTTGGTTTTTGTTGGTTTGTTTTTCCAGTGCAGGAATCGAACCCAGGGCTTCGGTCAGGTCAGATGCTGTCCCGCTGGCCTCCCGCTCCTGGCTTTTTACACCCTTGCTTTGGGGTTGTTTCCTTCTCACTCCTTTCTTTTTGTAGCCTCTGTGTGTCTCTCCACAGCTCTCTCCAGGCTCATATCTACAGATGCGTATAGGGGCTTTGGGGGAGGTCATGATTGTATTAAAACAGGATTACTGTAAATATCTCCAGAACTTGCTTCCCACTGCAGACGTTACCTCTTTCCACAGACAGACCCAGCTCTTTGAGTAGCTACTTATGGTATAGGCCCCTTATGGGTGGAAGTTACTGATTTCCCCCTTCTTCCTTCTTCTTTTGCTAGAACAAATATCATTGTCGTGAATATCCTTATAAATGTATGTTTGTGTTCCTATGTAATATATGTGCAGGATATGACTCAGAGGATTCTCTTTTTTTCTCCCAGTGCTGGGAATCAACCCCAGGGACTCATGCACGATAGGCAAGAGCTCTACCACTGAGCTGCAGCCCACCAGCCCCTTCAGTGATGGTTTAACTTTTTACAGTTTGTTACAGTAAGCAGCTATCGTATACAGCCAGCAGTTCCCCTCCGAGCACTTCCTTCCGAGCACCTTAGATGCGCTCATCTCAGCATCCTTGCTGTGTTCTTGTGAAAACGTTTTTCTATCCCCCCCCGCTCCCCCCCTATGTACCAAAGCTTTGTTTCCATTTTTCCTTCTTTTTCACTTTTTTCTTGTCCCTCCCTTCCTTCTTTTCTCCCTCCCTCCTCCCTTGTTCCCCCTCCCATTTGAACATTTTCTTCCCATTTCCCAACATCTATTATGCATTTTAGTCCTTATTTCCATTATCAGTTTCTCACACCAGATAAATAATGTGGTTTAAATATGTATGTGCCTAATTTATTTCACTTAGGAGTGTGGTCTCAAGGTCCATCCATTAGCAGAAATGTCTGAAGCTCATCCTTCTTTATGTCACAGTAGTATTCCATTGTATAAAAACCCACATCTTCCTGATCCACGCATCAGTTGACGGGCATTTGGGCTGTTTCCAAGATTTAGCTATTATAAACTGTGCTGCTGCAAATATAGGTGTGCATATATTGCTGTGGTAGGATGCTTTTAATTCTTTTGGGGAGATACCAAGAGGAGGAATATCTGGTCCGATGAAACCTCTATTTTTAGTATTTTGAGGAAGCTCTACACTGATTTTCACAGTGGTTGCACCAGTCTGCACTCCCACCAGCCGTGGAGCAGAGTTCCTATCTCCCCACAACCCCACCAGCATTTGTTACTCGTTGATTTCTTGATTTTCTTTATGTCACAGTAGTATTCCATTGTATAAAAACCCACATCTTCCTGATCCACGCATCAGTTGACGGGCATTTGGGCTGTTTCCAAGATTTAGCTATTATAAACTGTGCTGCTGCAAATATAGGTGTGCATATATTGCTGTGGTAGGATGCTTTTAATTCTTTTGGGGAGATACCAAGAGGAGGAATATCTGGTCCGATGAAACCTCTATTTTTAGTATTTTGAGGAAGCTCTACACTGATTTTCACAGTGGTTGCACCAGTCTGCACTCCCACCAGCCGTGGAGCAGAGTTCCTATCTCCCCACAACCCCACCAGCATTTGTTACTGGTTGATTTCTTGATTGTAGCCATTCTTTCTGGGGTGAGGTGGAATCTCAGTGTTGTTTTCATCTGCATCTCTTGAATGACCAGTGATGTTGAACATTTTTTCATATGTTTATTTCCTGTTTCTACTTCTCAGTCTGAGAAGTGTCTTTTCATTTCAGATGCCCATTTTTTGATTGGGTCTTTAAATTTGGGGGAGTCTAATTTTTTTTTAGTTCTTTATATATTCTAGGAAATAGTCCTTTATCTGATGAATAGCTGGTAAAAAAATTTTCCCATGCTGTGGGTTGTCTCTTCATTCTGTTGGTGGTTTTGTTTGCTGTGCAAAAGCTGTTTAATAAGATGAGGTCCCAGTTGCTGATTCTTTATAGTGTTTCTGTGCGTTCTGGGTTTTGCTCATGAAGTCTTTGCCTACTCCTGTGTTGTCAGGCATTCTGCCCATTCTCTCTTCCAGCAGATTTAGTGTTTCCATTTTAACATTTAGATCTCTGATCCATTTCGATTTTAGGTTGTGCATGGTGAAAGTTATGGGTCTAGTTTCAGTCTTCAGCATGTGGAAAGCCAGTTTTTCCAGCACCCGCTATCAAAAAGGCTATCTTTCTTCCAGTGAATGTGTTTGGCTCCTTTGTCAAAGATGAGGTGGCTGAGTGTGTCCAGAGTTGTTTCTGCATCCTCTAGTCTATCGATCTTCAGTTCTGTTCCCGTGCCAGTACCATGCTGTTTTTATCACCCTAACTTTGTAGTATAAAAGTATAAAGTCAGTGTAAGTAGTATAAAGTGGTATAAAGTCAAGGATTGTGATGCCTCTTACCTTGCCCTTGTTGCCCAGAATTGCCTTTGCTATTCTAGGTCTCTCTCTTCTGGTTCCAAATGAATTTTAGGATTCCTTTTTTCTAATTTTGTGAGATAAGCTGTTGGGATTTTTATCAGGATTAAATATGTATAATAATTTCAGAAGTACGCTCACTGAATCATTTCAAAAGATCAGTGAGGTCCAAAATGGATGATAACTATTGAGAAGTAGGAAGAAAACGTTCAAAGAGGAAGGAGAGCAAGGAAGGGAGTGAGGAGGAAAAGGAAAAGGAAAAGAAAAACAGAAACAGCATTTGTAAATCAGAAGAGGAATAAGAGCTGAAGGGAGGGAAAAGGAATGGGGGAAAAAGCAGATCAAGATGCGTCACGTACAGGTACAGATTCCTTAGGATGAGTATGGCCATTACACATATCAGAAGTGTAGCAATAAAATTAATTTTAAAAAAAGATAAACGAGTCTCTAGTGATAGTGTGGTAGGTAGGGGTAGGGAGTAAACCCTTTTACAAAAGAATACCAGTTGGTGCAGAAGGAATGATAGCATTAAAAAAAATCATCATTTTCCACCTGCATTGTAATTATGTAAAATGAAATTCAGCCAAGGACCATTGAGGAGGCCAAAAATCTGCCAGCGAGGTTGTGAGGCTCTTCCCGTAGGGGTACAGATGAATTATTTACCAGTCACGGAGGGAAAAACATACGCATTTACACTGCAGAAATCCTGCAGGTACCTTCAGCCAGATGATCAAGCAGCTTTAGTCTTGGGGTTTCCCTGGATTGGATGAGAAGTATCCAGTTCACTGGTGGGGTGTTTCCCCAGATGTCTAACCACATCTCATCAACCCTCGTGTTTATCTGTGGCGTCACTTCTTGTAGAGAGGGCGGCGGAGGATTCTGTGCTGGGACCCTAGGGGGGTCATTAATATCTTCTCAACGTCCCGGGGCCCTCATTTGTGATTTGGGGACCCTGAATCAGAGAGATGCATGAACATAACCTAGAGCGAATGTGACGTATTGGTTCAGCTCGCCTCCTCTCAGCCCTTCATGGCCACCAAATCTGCCGATGAGTAAAAGTTACATTTCTCTTCTCCTTACCTGATTGTTCTGTATCATTTGATCACGTCTTTTATGAATTGCCTACACTTACTAGATCCATAAGCAAAGGAAGCTGCCAAATATGCCAGAAAGCCCTCTCATCCAAAATGTTCTGGGCACCTTTTAGGTGGGACATCTCCGCACTCACTAGAAATTTCGGTTGACTTGCACGAAACTACTAATTCTGTGGATCAGAAATGGTTAAATACTAGCAGTTCCACGTGGTTCCACCTAACGCGTGCATAGGTTCACAGAGGCTTGGTTCATAAATCTTTAGTTGTCAAGCAGGCTCTTCTGTTCTTCCTAACGGTTTTAGAAATAAATTTGCTCGAGAAGGAGAGGGGAAAGACCTGTGCTAACCCAGGTTTGCAGGTAGCTGGGTGTGGAGCAGTAAGCATTTTAGGGCGTTTCTTCCCCACGGAGGACCCCTCCCCGGGGACAAGTTCTTCTCCCCAGTACCTCCTTACCTTTTACCTTTTCCTTCCAGGTGGTGGGAAATGAGAGACAAAAGGAAAGAAAATTGTCTAGCCCTTCTTTTCTTCCCTTTAGACGCTGGATTGGTCTTTTTAGATAGACAGTTGCAGAATCTTGAAAAGTGGAGTGAAAATAATTTATGTCAAGTTCTAAGTGGTTTTCTTCTAAAATGATAAGCCTAGTAGAATATGGGAAGTAAGGCAAGGTGAGGGATTTCAAGGGCTTGGTTTGTTTGTTTTTCTTCCTTCCTTTTTTAGAGCATTGACAAAGTAATGACTGACAGGAGACTCGGAGGAGGGTGACATTATTATAGGGTGGCCAGAGTCCTTCGGGGTGTGACTCTTATCTCTGGGGTCCCAGCCGTCGATCCTGTGAGGAAGTGGCCTGTCTTCCTCAGAGTGAGCTCTGGTAGTGTGTGTCAGTTGAGTATGTCCAAGCCATCTTTTGATTTCCTGAAATAAGAAGTCCGTTCATCAGAAGGCCTCCTCTTCACAAGCTGTGATCAGACCTGTATAGAAATAGCTTTATTAAAAGCCAAGTTAGCGCTGCCGTGAAAGTTATCATTTGTGTCCTAGACAGCTGCCCAGGAAGCCATCCTCCATGCGTCCGGAAGCGGCCTGTCCTCACCGTCCAAGGACTACTGTGTGCTGTACAACCCGTACTGGAAGGAGCTTCCCAGTACCCTAGAAAATGCAGTAAGTAAATCACAGCTCGTATTTATTCATACAAATGAAAATATCGGAAAGGTGAGAACGAGTGATAATTTTGTTTTAGTGTGTGAACTCATTTCCATAAACAGTGACTAATAATTATTATTTTATTGATTTTGCTCAAGTACTTTTCTATGAGAAGAGCATGTTAGGGAATTTTTATTTTTTATTAATTTTGTTTGTTTGGAGACAGGGTCTCATTATGTAGTTCAGACTGGCCTTGAACTCAGCCATCTTCCTGCCTCAGCCTCCCAAGTAGTAGGATCACAGGCGTGTGCCATCACACCCAGTACATTAGGAAATTTTTAAATACTACCTTTAAGCTTGGTTGTTTGTCTTTAAAATACCTTTTTTTCAAACAAAAACAAAAACAAAAAAATCCAGAAAAATAGTGAGACCCTGTCTCAAAAAAACAAAAACAAAAACAAATAAAATACCCTTTTTTCTTTTTGATTCACTTGCTGTCTTTCTTGGGTGTGTGTGTGTGTGTGTGTGTGTGTGTACTAGAGATTCAACCCAGGGTCTTGCACATACCAGGCAGGAGTCCTACCATTGAGTTACATTATCAGGTCTGCACTCCCTTTTAAATTTTTTGAGATAGGGTCTTGCTGAGTTGTCCAGGCTAGCCTCAAACCTGTAATCCTCCTGCCTCAGCCTCCTAACTAGTGGGATTACAGTTGTGCACCACCATACTCAGCATCATAAATTTCTAATTTAAAAGGAAACTATTTTTAGCTTTGGTGGCGGGGATTGAGCCCAGGGCCTCTTGTGTGCTGAGCATATGCTCTGCCTCTGAACTACACCCTAGCCACTAAAGGAACATTTTATTAAAGCAGTATTGGTGTCTTGTTGCTGAATGCATTCGTGTGAAATACAGTCTGTGTTACACCAACAACATTTCTTATTCCCAGACTTCCTTGAGTTTGATGAATCTGACTGCCACGCCACTATGCAGCCTTTCAGAAATTCCTCCCGGAGGCCTGAAGAACCAAGCAGTTGTGGTGCAGTGGGGACCCTGCCATTTTCTGGAAAAAGCCAGAGTCGCACAGGCGGGAGGTGCTGAAGCCTTGTTAGTGGCCAATGACAGTGTTGTAGTAAGTGACAAAACTGAACTTCTGTCAAACTCGGGACCCCAGATTTCTCAGGAACTGAATTAATTTCTTGGTGTGTGGTTGAGGGGCTCAATTTTGAATAGTCTGATGGTAGGAGTCCTTGCCAGTGAGCATTGTGGACCCAGTAGGTGTTTGATTGGAAAATTTTATTGTTCCTGTCCTATTTAAAGAGGACTTGATTAGGTGCAAACATGCACGTATATGAATATGGTGGGTTTGTGTGAGCCATGCAAACGTACGTCCAAGATCTCTGTCATGTACAGTTGTGATACCACATTCAGAATCTGCCAGTTCAAGCTTGTGTTAAAAGGGTTCCACCTGACAATTTGTGTAACATGAAGAAAGAATACCTGAAACTTTGCTGTATAGCTTCAAGAAGAATGGAATAGTTTGTATTTCTTTTATTCTGTACATACATATAATAAAGTTTCACAATATGTTTATTTTTCTCTCTTCTCTTAGTTTCCTCCCTCAGGGAACAGATCTGAATTTCCTGATATGAAAATACTAATTGCATTTATAAATCATAGAGACTTTAAAGATATGGATCAGGTAACACAGCTTTTGCATGTTAATTTATAGAGTCCATCTTTTACCTTTGGTGCTTAATTTTGATGATTATGTTTTAATTGCTGTCAAGAAGCTTAAATTCTTTAGGAAGTTGCTCTCCTCTGGTACAGTCTCATTTTGAGTTCTTTTAAAATCTCTTGTGCATGTTTCATGTCATATCTTAATTTAAAAATCCCTGAATAAAATGTGATTGTGCAGTTCCCTGAGCTTTCCAGATTTCATAATCCAAAGCGTGTGCCTTGCCTGGAGAGTCTGACGCGTCGCCTGAGCTTCTGGACTGCCCGATGCACCCTGTGCCTTCGGGAGCTCTGGAGTAGAGGAAGTTCATTCCTGTGTCCCGCTGTCACCTCTACCTGCAGACTCTGGGAAGTAACATCAGCGTGAGGGTGTATTCTCCAGCACGGCCCAACTTTGACTATACCATGGTGGTTATTTTTGTAATTGCTGTATTCACAGTGGCATTAGGAGGCTATTGGAGTGGACAGATTGAATTGTAAGTATAATTAAACTTCTGTGTTTTTGCCATAATGGTTAAAAGTATTGTTTTATAATCACTATAGTCATATAGTGACATTTAAAATTTTTGCCTAACCTCGGAATATAGTGCCAACAAGAGCAAATGTAAAACATGGAAAGAAACGTCTGCTAGTGGCCGCATCTTGTGCTAGAGATCCAGGGGACACACGTGTGTCTCTGCGTGCCATCCTCCCTGTCCACCCCAGGCCCCCACCGTCATGTGCAGCCTTTTCCATCAGTGTCCCCAGTGTAGGCCTAGAGAAGCTGTGGACAGAAAATAAACTTTTTTTTTCTTTTGAGATAGGCTCTCATCATGTAGTTCAGGTTGGTCTTGATCTCACTGTGAGCTCAGGATGGCCTCAAACTCACAGTGATCCCCCTGCCCCAGCGCCCCAGTTCACCACACCCAGTTATATAGTACATTATTTTTACTTTTTTTGTTTTGTTTACAGTACCAGGGAATAAACTCAGTACCTTTCACTTGCTAGGCAGGTGCAGCGCCACTGAGCTACATCCCCGGCCATAGTACATTATTGTTTGTTTGTTTGTTTGTTTGGTACCGGGGATTGAACTCGGGTCCTTGCGCTTGCAAGGTAGGCCACCGAACCGCTGAGCTAAATCCCCGGCCCTTGTTTTTTTGTTTTTTTGTTTTTTTGTTTTTTTTTTGAGACAGGGTCTCACTATGTAGGAACTCACTATGTAGTCCAGGCTGGTCTTGAACTCACAGCGATCCTCCTGCCTCAGCCTCCCAAATGCTGGGATTACAGGCATGCGCCAACACGCCAGGCCCATAGTACATTATTTTTAAGAAACAAATTTAAATTGGTGATAGAGATAGATTGGGATAGTGTTATTTGTTTCTGAGACAGGATGTAGTGGTGCACACCTGTTATTCCCTGGCAGTCTGGGCTACACAGTGACACCCTGTCGCAAAAAACTGAAATGAAATGAAATAAAGTAAAATTAGCTAAGTCGCCCAGCCTGGGCCCAGTTGCAGTCCCGCCTCAGAGTTTGGGGATGCCAGACATGCACCACCACTTCTGACTTTAGAGGTTGATTTCTTTTTTTCCTTCCCGGTACCAGGGATCGAACTTGAGACTTTGCACTTGAGAGGCAGGCGGCTGAGCTCAATCCCCAGCCCTAGAGGTCGATTTTTTAAAGAACTGTACTTGGTGGCGATTTGCTGACGTGCCTGTGAATGTTTGTGCAGGGAAAACATGAAGGTAGTGACTGAGACTGAAGACACAGAGATGAAGAAACAGAAGGAGGATTATTTAACCTTCAGCCCTCTCACAGTTGTGATATTTGTGGTCATCTGCTGCGTTATGATGGTCCTGCTCTATTTCTTCTACAAATGGTTGGGTAAGAAGCCATGTTTTACATTTGCTCTTTTTAGAATATATTCTTTTCGTTTATTTTGATTTATCTTTACCTTCAAAGCATTAATTCTACCTGGAAAACTTAAGTGAATACTTTGGTTAAGTATCCAGAAGTATTAGATCTCTGTTACTCTGAGATTTTTTTTTTTTAAATTAAAAATTAGTTTTTTAATTTTTGATTAAAACTATGCTGTGTCTCGAGATAACACTCGTTCATGGGTGACTTGAGAGAATTGCTTTGGTCCCCGGATGTCCCACTCTGCTAATGATCAGTGACAGCCTGGTCTCAAAGCTGCAGACTGAGGACTTCTCAGGGGCTATATTTAGTTGCATGAAATAAAAGATGATTCAAGTTACTGATGCATTGTCTCCCCTTAACCCCAATGTCTGTTTTATCTTCCCGTCGGTTTGTAAGTCAAATGTGGCATTGCTTAGATTTTGTCCTCCTCTGTGAGCACTTAGGGCCATGCCGTCTGTGAAGTACACACAGGTACTTGCTGTGGTCCAGACGTCAGCGGGTTCCTTCTCCCGTAGACACAGACAGGAGCTGCAATGGGCTGGCCACCTCTAGACACCTTAATAATGTCTTGGCAGCGAGGAGGTTTGCTGTCCTGGCACAAACGGGAGGATGACCAGGGTCAAAGGAAGGGTGTGCCTGGTGAGAATTAGCAAAAGCCTTTGTGAAAACCACTAAAAGCTGTAATATTTGTTTGGAGCACATTAGCGTAAATCTCTGGACGGGAGGACAGAAGCCCTAGGATTTGTTTTAGCTCATTGTTCAGGCTCTCCTGTCCTGTGGCAGCACCTTATAAACTAGACCCATGATGCATATCCCCAAGCTGTAAATTACGCCGTATCTCTCTGTTGAGACTGTGGCTGAGCGGGGCAGTATTTGTGTGAGGCAGCAGTGAGCAGCTGATTAGATCATTCCGTCTCAGCAATACAGGATTGACAATTCTGTCATTCAGAGTCTTCTACCTTATCCTGAAGCATATTTTTTATTATTATTATTTAGCTTTTTTATTTTTTTTTCAGTACCTGAGATCAAACTCGGGTCCTTGCAATTGCAAGGCAGGTGGCGAAACCCTCCACTGAGCTAAATCCCCAGCCCTCATATTTTAATTTTTGGTGAACCATTTCCTCAAGCACGTTGTTATTTAAAGGTTGATGCTCCTTATAACTGTAATTTTTAATGTAAGATCATGCGACCTCATGGTCATCCCAGGACAGAGGATTTAATTATGACTCTGACAAAACTTGATGTGTTTCGAGATTTTGTTTCCTCAGAATGATTGTTTCTGGCTCACGTTACTGCCATTTCTTAATATATTAACTAATCATTAAGGCTTCCCTTACCACTTTATGGCTGAGAAAGTAACTGAAGAGGAGTTGGGTTGCCAAATTCTTCCCACTGCATAATAATTTTCTAAGATATCAGGCTGGGGATTTAGTGGCACCGTGCCTGCCTCACAAGCTCAAGGTCCTGAGTTCGATCCCCAGTACCAAAAAAAAAAAAAGATATACTATGTTGTTAAATGAGGCATGAAAACCCTGTTAGGGCCTCAAAAAGCCTGATTTCCACCAGGCAATAAAACTTGCGTTGGGCAGCTTTGGTGAATGACTCACCACAGCAGCCTGACTTCCTGTTCGCACCGTGGCACCCGACCAAGAGCCCGAATAGCAGCAGATGGCAGGAGGCTTAGTGTGTGCTGGTACTGTTCCAGCACTTTGTGTCGGTCACCTGTCCGGTCCTCGCAGTGACCCCAACGTCGATGTTGCCACCTTCTATATTTTAGACCCAAGAATCAAAGAATTAGAAAAGCAATTTATCTAATACCACCAATCAGAAAGTGAGGTCTGGACCAGTCTCTCTTCCTCTCCGATATAACAGAACATTAGTTGCCTGAAATTAAGTAGAATTTTAAAAATTTATGTATAGTGTTTATTTCTGTTGTGACATTTTTGAGAAGAGTCCAGAAAGACATATTTTAAAGTACTGCTTAGCCAGGTGTGACAGTGCATGCCAGTAACCCCAGCACTGGGGAGGTTGAGGCCGGAGGAGGAACATGGGACTTTGAGGCCAGCCTCGGCTCCACAGTGAGTTCAAGACCAGCCTGAACTACAGAGTGAGATCCTGGCTCAAAAAAACAAAAAACAAAAAAAAACTATTCCTTAACAACAAAGAGGTCAAATGTCTTTAATTTTAAATAATTCTCAAATAAGTATAGATAATCTAGAAAAACACTAGTCAATTTTAACTACCTTAGTATCTTATGTAACAAAGCTTTGTTTAAATGGATTTGGTTTTACCATAGGTCAGATTATTAGCGATAAGAGATAAATCTTCCATAGGAAAATACAGATAATGTGGTTAATATCTAAGACAAGTGTTGGTTCTCATTCCTAAGTGGCTGATTTTTGGTTTGTGATTTTCTTTGGTTTTTTGAGACAGGGTTTTATGTAGCCCAGGCTGGCCTTGAGCTTACTGTGTAGTCCAGGATGGGCTAGAACTCATGGCAGTCCTCCTGCCTCAGCTTCCCAAGTACTGGGATTATAGGTGTGTGCCACCACACCCGGCACTTACATTTTAAAAAAATGTTTCTTAGTAATTTATTAATCCTTCTATTCCTTAGATTTAAATTAAAATGATAAGTATCAGTAAATCATTGTAAAATTTTTTAGTGACACATCACTTTGAATTATTAAATGGTAGAAAATGTGGAGCCACCTTCAGCCCTTTAAGCAATCCTGCCAATCTATAACAGAAACAAGACAGCACACAAAACACACATTCCTGAAACTCGAGGCCTAAATGTTTTCAGCTTAGAACTACAGTAGTAATGTAGTCACTGCATTGAAAGTATTATGATCCAGTACAGAAAGCTAAAGAATTAAGTCTGTCTGTATGAATATTTTGTTTTCGCATCTCTTTCTGTTATATGAGTTCACCTCTTTTTTCCCCAGTTTATGTTATGATAGCGATTTTCTGCATAGCGTCGGCCATGAGCCTCTACAACTGCCTTGCTGCCCTGATTCGGAGGACACCGTGTGGACGATGCGCGTACGTACCTCTGTGCAGTGCTGTGGTGCCAGCATTTGAATGTAATGCAGTACAGTGAACAGCAGGTGTTTTAAGCCTGTACAATCCAATATACAACGGGTGTTTGGTTGTTTAAATTAATGAAAGTTAAGTGAATTATTTAAGCATTTAAAACCTAGTTGCTCTGTCCCAGATGCATTTCAAGGGTACGTTGGCTGCTCTTTTGAGGCTGGTGGCTACTGTCCCGAAGGCACGATTCCATCAGCCCAGAAGGTCCTGTGGGATTGATTGTTATGTCTCATTTGTTTATTTAGAACCAAGGCGTCCTAGCTAGCATTTAGCCACTTCTTAAGACCAGTCAATGCTCAGCATTTCTTATATCAAGTGAGCTTCGTATTTTATCCTCAGCATCCACTTAACTGTTCCGTCTTTTTCAGGATTGCGTGTCGTGGCAAAACCATTGAAGTGAGACTTATTTTTCTCTCTGCGCTGTGCATGGCAGTAGCTGTTGTTTGGGCTGTTTTTCGAAATGAGAATAGGTATGAATGCTCTGTTATTCTGTTGTAGATTGAAGGGTGGATTGCGTTACCTCTTGCTCTGATACTTACTTGTTATGATTGTTACAGAATTTTTTTGTTTTTACCCCCGAACGCATCTTGAAACAAGCTACTTTTTAAATGAGCAGACTTTACACTAATGGTTTAAACTCATATAGAGAAGGAAATACGAGTTATGGTTTAAATACCTAGATTTCAGAACTGTAGTTCACTAGGGTATAGCCACACAGTGGCATGCAGCCTAACGCATAAGAATGAAAACTACCTCTATGAATCACTATGCAATGATTTCCAGGATATATTTTTAAGTAAAAAAAGCAAAGTACAGAAGAAAATGTAGGTTATATTACCTTTCATGTTAAAAAGAAAAGGGTGTGCAAGGAACCTGACAGTTTACAGAGAGAAGAGGATATGGAAGTTACCGTCCTTTGCAGGAAACCCAACTAGAAAGAAATGCATGCATACTTAGGTTTCGTTAACGGGTAATTAATAAAGTTACTGATGACCTAAACACGGAATGGCTTGGAACTTGGGAAACAAAGTCCCGACCACTTTGGGCAGCCCCTTAGGTGACGTCAGCTGTCAGCTCCCGGTCGAGCGAGTGGCATGGCTGTCTCTTGTTCAGGCATCTGAGCACCGTGTGCTCTGTTGACAGCCACCTTTCTAGAGAGACACGCGTGGGAGTTCAGAGATGAGAGACAGCTGTGCCCTTGTACCTGATGTACAGTCTTCCACAGTAGCCTTTCAGCTTTTCCTTAGCACTGTAATATACATTATTTTACTAGGGTGGTAAATTAGTAAACGGGGAAAATATGAGGAGTTTTTGCTGTTATACGCTTATCTCATATAATTGGGCAGTCAAATCATAGCACTTGGGACCAGGGGTTTGGCTCAGAGGTTCCACCGCCTCCCTGGCAAACGCAAGGGACCGAGTTCGATCCCAAGTGAGTGGCATTACTTGAGAGATCTACTTATTTTTTACCTAAACTGAAATGGATGAAACAGAGTTTTCTCTTGATTTTAGGTGGGCTTGGATTTTACAGGATATCTTGGGGATTGCTTTCTGTCTGAATTTAATTAAAACACTGAAGTTACCCAACTTCAAGGTAAAGTACACTGCTTTGCTAGCTAAAATAACTTTTTTCTTTTCAAAACTACTTCATTAAGGTATAATTTGCATGTAATAGAATGCAACCATTTAAAATAGAATGTGTGTTGGTAATTTTACAAATCTAGAACTTTACAAATCCCACTGAGGTTGCAGAACATTTCCCATGTCTTTAAAAGCTCTTGTGGGCCTTTTTGCAGTCTCTCTTAACCCCCGGGCAAAAGCAACCACTGACTTGCTGACTAAAATATTCTTAGTCATCTAATATGCCCAGCTCATAAAATCCTTTTGAGACTAACTATCAAGGAAGAACATTTCTTCAATTCAGTGATTAAAAAAAGAAAGAAAGAAGGAAGAAAATGGGACAAAACAGAAGTTTTAATGTGGTTTATAGACCAAAACTGCCTAGAGTAGTAACCAAAAAAAGCCTTTTAGAACAGTGTTCAAATGTATGTTCACATGTTCATTTGCACTTACAAAATATTTAATCTCCAAATTTAGACATGAGAAATTTGACCTTAGATTTTGTTTCTTTCTTCCACAGTCGTGTGTGGTACTTCTAGGCCTTCTCCTCCTCTACGATGTGTTTTTTGTTTTCATAACACCATTCATCACAAAGGTATGATCCCATTTTCTAACACCAGGAGAAAACATGCTAAAACATGAGCATCTGAAACCTGCTCCTAGATTATAGATTTTACAGATGTTTCCACGGAGTTCTAAATTCTTTTAAGAGAATTGTCATTGAAATCGGCCTTTCGCCAGAGTGTGTTTCCAGCCTTTAAGCCATTATGTTAGATAAAGTCTACGGAATGATGTAAAAATGAGAATGTCTATCTTTTCTACCCTTTTAAAAGCAGTATTTCTTACTATAAAATAATAAATGTCTACTGTAGACAACATAGATAACAAAAAGTAAAAAAGAACAACAGAAAGAAAGAAAGAAGAAAGAAACTTCTGGTTGCTGCTTTGACTTCCAAGCTCCTAGCCTGAGACCAGGGAAGAGTGCTCCTCCGGGAAAGTTGGAGGCCCAGGGTGCAGCTCTTACCCTCACCAACGAGGGCAGGTTCCTGGCTCTTCCCACTTCTGTTCCTGACGCACTGTGAGAGGACGCTCACCTGGCCTCCACTCACCACCCCGCCAGCAGAAATCTTCTGGTTGCAAACAACAAGCCACCCGGAGTTTCCGGACAGAAGGTCCCACGTGTCGGGCTGTGTAGAGGCCAGGGCAGGGCTGGTGTCAGGACTGACAGGACCCACAGCCATTTGTCCCTCACCTGGGTGAAACGAGGAAAGGTGTGAGCAAGCATGGTGTCCTGTACTGTCCATCCAGCTGGCCTGCCTTGACCCTTTTCCCTCTGTAGTTCTGCTTTCCTCCAGTGCTAGGGATCGAACCTTGGGCCCAGCAAGTGCTGAGCCGTCTGAGCTACGGCCTCACCCACATTGGTTCTTTATCCTTTCTCTAGACCCTGCCACCTACGAAATGACTACATAAGTCGGCACTTTGGCTGGGCATGGTGCTGTATGCCCGTCATCCCATCACTCGGGAGACTGAAGCAGGAGGATTGAAACTTTGAACCTAGTGTGGGGACCTTAGTAACTTAGTAAGACCCTATTTCAAAATAAAAAATAAAAATAAAGGCATGGGATGTAGCTCAGTGTGACGGCCCTGAGTTCAATCCCCAGTATGCCCCCTCCCACAGAAAGAACCCTAGATTTTTTATAATTGCTGTCAGATCTAGAACAAGCTGTTGGGGAGCTAACATGGCCACTAGGTAAGAAACAGAGCTCACCGTCCCAGCAACCTCTGTCCACACTGTTTTCCTAGCACTGTCGCTGTCTTAATGATGAAGGTTGCCCTCTTTGGGCAGTGGTGACCTAAAGAAAGCACAGAACTAGTATTGTGGGTGACTAATACTGGTCTTTTGTTTTGTTTTGTTGTTTTGAGACAGGGTCTCACTGTGTAGTTGAGACTGCCCTGGAACTCACTATGTAGCCCAGGCTGGTCTCGAACTCTCAGCGATCCTCCTACCTCAGCCTCCCAAGTGCTGGGATTACAGGTGTGCACCACCATACCTGGCTTCTTCTTTTTTGGTCATTTATTAAAACACATTTTCAGTTCCATCTAAAGCTGTCCAGGCTTGTATCAATTACTTTGTTCATAAAAATGTTACAGGAGTCTACATCAGTGCTCCACAGTACAAGCAAGTGTCCTGTGGTCCATAGCCCAGGGCCATGTGCTGTACAGCAGGTGCCCACAAGGCTGTAGCTGAACTTTTCACAATAATTGTTCCGTTTAACCTCAGCCTCAGTTTATGAGTGCCAAATTTATGTGCCAGCAAACGATTTCTATTCCCTACACATAAAATGTTTCAGATTGTAAAGGTATGGAATAATAATAAAGGTTTCTTTTAGCTTTCTGTCTTTCTTGTGTGCCTAGGAAAATTTTTCATCTCTTTTTCATCTTAGTTCCTAGCAATTAGGACTTATTTCTAGCAGTCTAATTCAGTAGAAAAAGCCAAACGGCCCTTGAGTTCAGTTTTGATTTCTTTGTTCTTATTAGGCCTTCCTCGAGTAGGTAATTAAAATGAAAATCAGGTATTTCACCACTGATTTGTGCGGTTGTGACTGTAAACCTGAAGGATTAGCTGCCAGCTGTGAGACGCCTGTTCCTGACCCAAGTGGGCTTTGAGGGAGGGCACAGCAGGCAGCCGTGGCCACGACACTAAGGGCCCACGTGTCACGTTGCTTTTCCTGCCACCTCTGTACTCAGTACGCATCGCAGAGCAGTTGCTGTTCAGATGTCTGTGGACGCAGGGGTGATGTCAGTGACCATCTCCAGTTCCGTGTTTCTAGTAACAGCTGGCGGACGAGCCAAGCGAACTCTCTGTGGGGATGCTCGATGATTGTCTGGGAATCTTCTATCTAGAGCCCCATCTAGCTTTAGCTTAGCTCCGAGAACCTCCGTGACTTCACCCTTCTCGTAACCCAAGCTGAACACGAGGGAAAGACCTCTGTGGCTAGGGATTTTATCTTTCTCCTGGGCTCAGCTATCAGTGAAGTCCTTCTAAAAACATTCAAGTGATCCTGCTGTGTACCCCACCCACACAGAAAGCGTAAGAGCCCATCGGTCACATTTTCCTAAACTTAGCGTTTGTATGGCTTCCCTGTACCTGCTTTGCCGATGTCTGTATCACATCGTGAAATGCAGAATGGGTGTTTCCTTCCCCTGCTACCTCAGAATGTGTCTCCAGCACACTGTGCTCTCGGAGGAAACGTTTGCACTGAGTCCCTCACACAGCTCACGTGGGGTCTTTCGTCAGACAGGGAGAGGGGAATTCAGCTAAGGTAAATGTTTTCACTGGAACATGGAAATCAGGCAGAGTGAAAGCAGGCAGGAGTGCAGCTAGAGAGCTTCCTGGGGTTCGCTAGGGCTGGGTTTTCTCACACCGGGCTTCACTTTTCTTACTGTGGTGAGGAGCCAGAAGATCGAAGGTATATTAGTCAAAGAAAGTGACCTAAATTTGTTGCAGAGCTGAATTTTAAAAGACTTTGGTATGTCTTCTCTGACGTTGCTGAAAATGACTAAGAACTGTAGTATGTTACATTATAAATAGTTCAAAGTGGCTAGGCTGGGCCTGGTGGCACAGGCCTGTAACCCCAGCGTTGGGAGGGGAGGCGGAGGATTGCTACCAGTCTAGACTATACAGCGAGACCCAGTCTCCAAAACCAAAGTTGTAACCCATCACACATTTTTAAAGTACGACTTAGAGCTTAAAGACTCTGATGAATAATCTCTGAATGGCTTATCAGTTTCGGGCAATTCTTGAGTTCTAATAGTGTGGAGCGGTGTGCCCGGTAAATTTCTTCCTGCGGTAACTTCAGTCCTCCCTGTTTACAGGGACTGTTTTAGAAAAGGGCCGCCCGCTCACGGCCCACTTCCCTTCGGTTTACAGTGGCCATGTGCCAAGGACTTAGCTCCTTCTTGAGTAGCGACAGGTTGTTCTCACGACATGACCGGACAGCCCCTCCACCTTCTTTTTCATTTTCAGAATGGGGAGAGCATCATGGTTGAACTTGCCGCTGGACCGTTCGGGAATACTGAAAAGGTAGGGATGAACCTGGACGGCAGCGGCTGCCATGTCTGTGCTCCTGCCGTTGTATTGCCTTCCTGTGTTACTGTAGTGCATGTCAAGGTATTATAAAACGTATTTCTCACAAAATATAGCCCTTTTCTTAGCCACCCTAAATTATGAAACACCTATTGACTTGGGTTTCATCCTAGAATGATGGAAACTTTGTGGAAGCCACTGCCCAGCCCTCAGCTCCCCATGAGAAAGTAAGGATTGTGTTTCAGATATGTTCACTGGACTTAAGCTTGCCCTCTGAGACAAGACTCTTCTGTGGGGGAAAAGCCAGGTTGCCAAAAAAAATCTCTTTCAAGGCCTGAGTCCTATTCTTGGGAAAATAAGAAAAGAAAAGGCTAAATATTGGGATAGTGGACTTAGGCTGTCAATCCTTCATGGGTTGGGTTTCTTTTGCCCAGAACTACACATCTATTTCTTTCAAGCTTTCTATATGTGCAGAACATATGAATACAATGTGTATGTTTTTATGTATGTGTATAGATGCATGTACCTGATGTATATCCTCTTGATTTCAAGGGTTTTGTGTGTGTGTGTCCGTTTAAAAAGTGTTCAAAACAAGTATCATAATGTTAGTCCTTCCCTTTCTAAAGCAAAGATTGGGAAGAGGTTTATTGGTGGCCTTTCTTTCTTTTCTCCTTTTTCTTTCCTTTCCCCCCTCACAGTTACCTGTAGTCATCAGGGTGCCAAAGCTGACCTATTTCTCGGTAATGCGCGTATGTTTCCAGCCTGTGTCCATATTGGGCTTTGGAGACATTATCGTACCAGGTAAGCGATTGCGACAGCTTTGGTAAAGAGACACCGTACTTACTGATGGCTCTAAGTCCTCATATGCACGGTGTCGTCAAAGGTTACCTGCTCTGTGTTGAGCATTTCTGGCTGTTGCTGGAGCCAGACTCAGTGACAGAGGAAGAAAAGGAGCATTTTGAGAGGAAGAACATAATGCCCAAATGCTAACAGCAAAGTAAAACATCCGTGGCTCAAAAAGTACCAGAAAGAAAGCAGCTAGGACCAGCTCAAACTTCTTTCCCAATAAAGTTATTTTGTGACCCTTTTTAAAAATTGAAAACAATGCTGCCAAACATACAGCCTCTGTTACTTCCAATTTTATAATAATAGCTGTGTTTTAGGGAGTGGTCCCAGGTTACTAGGCAAGGTTGTGTTGAAGTGGAAGGACCAGAACAGCAGCATTCTGTGGCTTTCCAGTCCAGAGAGTTCATAGGGAAACGCATCACCCTTCCCGACAGCGATCGCAGTGCTGCCGTGTGTTCCCCACCGGCTCCTTGGGGAGCAGAACCCCAGGCAAGGTGGTGACAGCATCGTCCAGCTTCCTGTGCCGGTAGCCGCTGCTCAGTTACAGCGAATGCCCCTGAACCTCGCCGGACTCTGCGAGAAGGGCCAGGGTGAAGACTGTGGCTTCTCCGCACTGGCCCCTCCGTTTGCAGAGTGAAGTGAGGTGGGAGGAAGCTGGCTGTGCTGCCATGGAGGTGGCCTGGCAGAGTCCAGCGTGGGACTTGGGGTTAGTGAATCTCCATTCCCGGAAGTGACCAGCGAGGGTCGCACACCCAGTCCGCTGCCTTTCCTTGAGCATCTCTCCCTCATTCCTGGTCTTTCCATTTCCACACTGAGTGCTGTGTAAGGTCTGCAGAGCCCTTGGGATAGGACGAGTCAAAATCATACGTAAGTTTGCCATTTTAAAAGTTAAACATCAAAGGTGCCAAACAAATACGTCCCCAAAGGGCATAGTCGACGATATGTGATGTAATGTTAAGAGCTGTGTCCTCATTTGGGGTTGTACCATGCTTGCTTCAGCAGCACATGTACTAATTTGGGGGTGTCCTTTTTTTAAATTTGTGGAAGTGTGATTACACACCAAATGGGGTATAATAGAGAGCAAAACTAATTAATTCAAACAACCAATAGTCAAATTATTTTATGATTTTTAAGTGGTTAAATGTCATTCTTACTGTGATAAAATATTAAATAAATACAATGTGAGATTTCTTCAGAGAAGAACAACAAATTTCTTATAAGATACAGGTATTAAGTTGTTTTGTCATACTGTATTTGCGTGTTTCCAAATGAGGGCTTGTTTTTTGAACTCTATATTAAAACTCCACGTCACTTCCTGCTGCTAGGAGGATTTTTTTTTTTTTTTTTTTTGGAGACAGGGTCTCACTATGTAGTTGAGACTGACCTGCAACTCACTGGTTTTGAACTCACAGCGATCCTCCTGCCTCAGCCTCCTGAGTGCTGGGATTATAGTCGTGTGCCACCACACCCGGCCGGAGGACTTTTTGAGTCACAATTTCAAATTGCTTTTGTTGATGCCTTTCAGTGTATTTTTTATAATATATATGATACATGTATTTATTTACATTGACAATAGCTATATATATTTATAGTGTGTAACTTGTTTTAAGATATGTATACATTGTAGAATGACTAAATCCAGCTAACATATGCATTAACTCACATACTTATTTTTTTGTGATGAGCACAGTGCTTATAGCAGTTTTAAAGAACAAAATAAATGTAGTGGTGCCTGCCTATAATCCCAGCATTCCGAGAGGCTGAGGCAGGAAGATTGCAAATCAAACCCGGGTTGGGCAATACAATGACTTAGCAAGATCCTGTCTGAAATTACAGAAAGAAAGGGCAAGAGATATAGCTCAATGGGAAGGCCCTGGGTTCCATCTCCAGCACCATACACACACACACACACACACCCACACACCCACACACCCACACACACACACACACACACTGCTGCTAATTATGATAGATTTCTTGAACTCGCTCCTCAAATCTAAATGACAAATTGAACTCTAATCCTTGCGCTTGCAAGGTAGGCGCTGGAACCACTGAGCTAAATCCCCGGTCCTCCTCCTATCTAAATGAAACTTTATATCCTTTGAGCAACACCTCCCAACCCCTTCCCCTACCCAGCCATTGTTAACTACCATTTTACTCTCTGCTTCTATGAGTTCAACTATTTTAGATTCCACTTATAGCTGAGATCACACGGGATTTGTGTTTCTGTGCCTGGCTTCTTTTTTTTACTGTGATGTCCTCTAGGCTCATCCATGCTGTCCCGAGTGAGAGCCCATCGTTTTCCTTTGAAGGCTGGGCAGTACGTATCTTATATGTGCACCCTCTTCCCGTTATCCGTGCATGGAGATTTAGGGTGATTCCCTCTCCTGGCCATGGTGACTAATCCTGCAGTGGAATGCAGGTGTCTCTTCCATGTCCTGCTTCCGTTCCCTTTGCTGTGCACCTGTACGCCTGGAAGTGGACTTGCTGCATCGTATGATAGTTCTTTTCTCAGTTTTTTGAGGGCCCTCCGCACTGTTTTTCCCTTTTCTCCACATCTCCTCCAACCCTTAGTGTTCATCTTTGGGGGGTGGGGGGCAGTACCAGGAATTGAACCCAGGGCCTCACACACTCTGGGCAAGCACCCCCGCGTTCACCCAGCCCCGCTCATCTTTGCACAGCGTGAGGTAACATCTTGTGTGGTTTTAATGTGTCTTTCTCTGTGACCCGTCATTTGGAACATTATGTACCAGTTGGCCATTTGTGTGTGTCTTTTGAAGAATGTCTATTCAAATCATTTGCCCTTTCTCTTTTGTTTTGGTACCGGGGGTTGTACTCGGAACCTTGTGCTTGTGAGGCAGGTGGCGGCACCACTAAGCTGAATCCCAGCCTTTTTTTTTTGGTACCAGGGATTGAACTCAGGTCCTTGCGTTTGCAAGGCAGGCCACCGAACCACTGATCTAAATCCCCGGCGTATCCCAGCCCTTTTGGCCTTTCTCTTGCACTGAGTTATTGTTTTCCCGCTATTGAATTAAGTTCCTGTAAATCTGGATATTCGGCAGATATTCCCACCACATAGGCCACATCTCCACCCTGCGGTCTCCTTTGCTTTGCAGAAGCTCTGTAGTTTTATACAATCCCATTGTCTGGTCAGTATATTTTCTAAAGAAATACTGGAAAAATTTTCTCCATGACATGAAATATTGAGCAGTTAATAAAAATCACGTTTCTAAGCACTTTAATGACTTTTGGGAGATGTTTGAAATATATTAAATTTTAAAAATCAGAATATAAAACTTTGTACAAGGATTGAGATACTGCACTGATCTGCTGCTGCAAAAGGTAAGTTAAATACAAGGTAGCACACAGTGTTATCTGTAGTTCGACCTGAATTGCTGTTATTGTTTTAAGGCAGTAATGTGGAGGATATTTTTGTTTTTCTAGGCCTGTTAATTGCATACTGTAGAAGATTTGATGTTCAGACTGGTTCTTCTTCTATATACTATATTTCTTCCACAATTGGTAAAGTTTTATTTCTTCTTCTTTTATTTTATTTTGTATTGTTTTGTCTGGAGGAAAAGACAAGAGTCTAAAAATAACAAGTCCTGGATTTTGCTGATTTGCCATATGTTTTTCCATTAAAGAGAGACAATTATACCTTACAATTTATATTACCAGGTTTTAGAAGGCTTAAAAGGAAATCAGATGTGAAAAAAAAATTAAGTTCTATAGATAATGTTTATTAAAATACTGGCACATAAATAGCCAGTAAATTGTGTATTACTGGATTTTTTAAAAAATAGGGTATGGATAGTTATGTATTATATATGTTATATAAATTAATTTATGGCACAAGAACGCCTCACCTGGACAGCAGAAGCAGCGACCTATGCCTCTATTTCTTTTACTGAGAAAGAGTTAATTTCAGGAAGTAAAAGCCAAAAACTACCTCCCTCCTTCTGCATGTACCAAACGGGCCTCCCAGAGCCCACGTACCCAAGCTCTTGACGCTCGGGCAGGTGACCAGCATAGAGCCGTTAGTCGCGCTGCTAGCAAGGCCTCAGGCTCCCTGGAATCTGGTCACCGAAAAGTGTGTTAGTGCGAGAGAAGGGTGTTCCTAGAAGCGGGTACTCTGACAGCACGGAAGAACAGTAAGTGAGGGAGAAGAGCACTCAGGAGCGGAAGGCGGCGTGAGGCCGTCAACTGCGGTGTCCTGTAGAGGTGGTGGAGCGCGGGCCGGAGCAGTGCTCTGCAGTCATCCGTGTGACGTTGGCTTCAGTCACCTCCCTGGCCCTCCTCTGCCTCCCCTCGAAGGGTCCTTCCAGCCCTGCTCCAGCAGCCTGAGACCCGTTGTCGTTAGGAAAAGAGTGGATGGTGTTTGGTGTGTGCTTCAGGAAGGAGCCGAGGAAGTGTATACTCAGTATTCGGAAGGTTCTTCAGCGCCGCCTGTATACTTACGGGGACCGATTTAGTTATCTAAAGTGTGGGCCACCTTTAGTGACACGATGATACTCCTCACGGCACCTTTACCCAAGATAAAGGGTTCAGTTGGAATAGTAACCAGTTTGCAAACTTGTCAGAAGCTCTCTGGAATATTTTTCTTAAGCTATCTGTCTGGGGAAACAATGAAATTATGATAAGAGGTCATGTTGTAAAAATGTCTTCAGACATTTGCAAGCTGATACTTTAACGGGAGGAAAAGCGTAGCGTGGGTAGCAGGGAGAAGTGACTGCTACCCTAACCTTGCAGCCTACGCTGTTGGCATGATCCTCACCTTCGTGGTTCTGGTGCTGATGAAGAAGGGCCAGCCTGCGCTCCTCTACTTAGTACCTTGCACGCTCATCACTGCCTCGGTTGTCGCCTGGAGACGGAAGGAAATGAAAAAGTTCTGGGACGGCAGCAGCTATCAGGTACGACGGGCGGGGCGGGCTGTGCGTTACTCACCTCCGGTCCGCCGCATCTCCACGCTGAAGTAAAGCTGATAAAAGTACACTGTGCTTGAAGTGAGTCCTGAAGTTTGGGGCTGACTTGGCTGGGTACCGTGGCCGCAAAGGCGATACGCAGTCCCCCCCGTCGGAGTGCGCCCCAGCGGGGCGCTCATTTCAGACTGAAATGGAGCCAGAGGTCCTTTCTTTAAAACCCCTGAACCAAAGGGAGTCTTGAGACCAGCGTCTGTGGCTGGAGCTCTGTCTTCCCGGGAAGTGAACCCCCGTTTTCCTAAGCCTTCTTTGTATTCCCGTACCGTCCCCCCACGCAGTCATTTTGCGCTGCAGTTGAGGAGGGGTTGGAAGCCTCGCCCACCTTAGGTCTAGGCCGCAGCCGGCCCCTCTGTGAAGGCAGCTCGGGCGTCGTGTCCCCGAGGGGACTGGCTGGGCTGTTACTGCAGCGTCTCCTAGTGTCAGTTCATGACCGCGGCCAGCACATCATCCCACAGGCTGCAGTCGCTGGGAAGGGCACTAGTTCAGAGTCCCTTCAGGTAAGCCAGGCCATTTCCTGGAGATTTGTACAGATAATAATACCTGCCCTGCCTGCTGCGCGGTATTGTCCTCCCAGCTTATATTCTTTTTTTTTTTTTGAGACAGGGTCTCACTATGTAGTTGAGACTGATCTGGAACTCACAGTGATCCTCCTGCCTCAGCCTCCCGAGTACTGGGATTACAGGCATGAGCCACCACCCCCGGCCCAGTTTACATTCTTGTACAGAGAACTAGTTTATGGCCACAGGTCCTTGGTTAAACTAGTAAGGCAGCTTTGAACGTTTCCACGGACATGACCCACATATAGATTTTGTTCTTGTTTTTTGTTTTTCCGGTACTGGGGATCAAACTCAGGGCTCACAAATGGCAGGCAAGCACTGAGTTTTTATTTTTATAGATTTATTTTTTAAGTAAAAGTGTATCTTACAGCACACATTCTACTACTAACCTTTGGATATAGCATCCCAAAAAGGACTCATTACCTTTTTCTTGAGAGAGGATCTCACTAAGCAGTTCAGGCTGGCCTTGAACTCATGCCTCCTGCCTCTGCCTCCCAAGTGCGCCAGTATGCCCGGCAAGGATCGTCATTTTATTAGTATTATATTTTTTAAACACTTTTTATTTTTATTTTTAAAATATTTTTATATTAATTTTATATTTTCCATTGAGCAGATACTTGCTGAGCAGGTCTGTGACTTAGGTGGCACTTTCGATCTTGGTCATACAGGATGAGCAGGTGGCACACAGGTCTGTCCCCATGGCCTGGGAGGACCCAGGTCTGTGAGGGGAAGCCGGTGGCACCCCGGAGCGGAGCGGGAGCAGGGAGGTGGGCATTTGTGGGTCCAGGTCAGGCCAAGCTCGGGAGAGCGCTGAGCACTGTTAATGATGTCAGCACCCTGAGGGCTGAGCCCCGGGCTTGTCCTGCAGGAACCAAGACTTCAGAAGCTGAGAGGGAGGAGAGAAGGGCATTCAGGATGGGTGGGGTAAAGAGGGTGTCATCAGGTCCAGCAGGGTCAGGAGGGGAGCTGGAGAGTGAGCGGAAAAGTCTTGCCAGGGCCTCCCTCGCCGTGAAGGAGTCGAGGCTGAGAAGCGCAGAGGCGGTGAAAGTGGGCAGGGGTCCTCTCTGTGCAGGGAGAGGGAGGGGAGTTCAAGGCTCCTGCAAGGAGACCAGCAAGTTTAGGGAGCGACAGATAATATAAGATGTGGTCAAGATGCATAGTGCATCTTTTAAAAATTGTTACAAGCCAGGTGTGGTGGCGCCTGCCTGTAATCGCAGCACTTGGAGGCTGAGGCAGGAGAATTGCTGGAGTTTGAGGTCAGGCTGGGCTAACTGTTGAGTTCAGGGCCTGCCTGAATTACAGAGCAAGACCCTGTCTCAAAAAAATTTTTTTAACAGTAAAAAATGCGTTACTACTAATTTCCTTCAAAAATCCTCCTTCTGGCTTTGTCATGCTTATCCCATGGTTCTTGCCACTTCCTGAGGTTGCTCTGAAGTCCTCTTTCTTGAGTGTGAGGAGCTGTGATCCACACTATGAGGTGTAACCAGAAATCCAGCGAATGCTGCTGCTGAGACCGTCCCACAGAAAGGCAGCTCCTAAAAGCACTACGCTGTGTCCTCACCCACCCGGCTCACTGGTTCTGGCACCGTGCGACTCTCGCGCTGTCCCAAAGTCACGGTGATCCTGGGAGGAGGAGTTTGGAATCCAGTCAGGACCTGGAGGCAGCTGAGACCGGGGAAAGAGGACTCTAGAGCGGCTCCGGACAGAGGACAGAAGGCGGAATGAGCGTGTCCGCCGTGTGGGGAGGATTTCGAGGGAAAGTCACGGCAGTTATATTCTCCAGTCCTACCCTGTCGCCCAGTGAACGGGGCGGAGACAGGCCCGGCTGCAGGTGGCGCTCAGGCGTCCTTAGCTGGGAGGGCGAAGGCTCGGAGGCCAGGGACCGGGACAGGCTGCCCTCGAGCGGTGTGCACCAGGCGGGCACTGTCGGGCTCCAAGGGAGGTCAGCACAGAGGCTTAAGTCATGGGCACCAAACGTGACCTAATTAGAATTTAAGTCTGGAGGGCTGGGGATGTAGCTCAGTGGTGCTGCCTGCCGCCTGCCTCTCAAGTGCAAGGTCCCGAGATCCATCCCTGGTTCCAAAAAAAAAAAAAAATCAACTTTTCTTGCAAGAATTTAAGCCTGGAACTGTTAGGATTATTTGTTTCCTGCCATTTTCATCACCATTTTTCTTTACTTGTGCAAAAGTCCTTTTCCTTCAATAGCTAAGTATTTTGTTATAAAAATAGGTACTACTATAGAAAATTTGGAAAATGTAAAACAAAAACAAAAAAACCCCAAGAAAAGCAAATCCACTCATAATCCTGCCCCCTAGAGCCAGCTACGGCTGATGGAAATTTCACAGGCCTTTGTAGGTGGTGCCTAGGTGGCTGGATGGTGTCTTGGTAGCTCCTAGCTTGCTTTTTCAGTGCACTTTTTTTTTTTTTTTTTTTTTTAATTTTTTGAGACAGGGTCTCTCTATGTAGTTGAGACTGACCTGGAACTCACTATGTAGCCCAGGCTGGTCTCAAACTCACAGCGATCCTCCTGCCTCAGCCTCCCGAGTACTGGGATTACAGGCGTGCGCCACCATGACCGGCTTTCAGTGCATTTTAATTTCACATTCCTTGTAAAAATCATTTCGTTGGCCGTGTAATATTCTCATAGGCATGTACCATCCTTTACCAATTAGTTTGACCCAGAAATTCCTCTCTAAGAGATTATCGGGAAATGACTGCAACCGTGGGCAAAACTGATGTGAACAGGTGTTTGTCCCAGTACTTCTGCTCGTCTTTGTTCTGTTTTGATGGTTTATAGGTTAAAATTATTGGCCGTTAATGTCTAACACCTTTATGTAGACCCCAACCCTGTTTTCACTTCGATGATTTTTCTGCTTGTGTGTTTTTAGTTATAAAGTAATGCATATTTGCATTTTTAAAACAAGAATACAGAAGCATTGCATGTAAAAGTGGAAGGGTGTTTTCTAACCACCCCATGACTCTTCCATCCCCAAGAAGAACTGGACAGCTGGGCAAGGGGTGCATACCTTAATCCCTGCTACTTAAGAGGCTGAGGCAGGAAAATCTCAAGTTCAAGGCCAGCCCACACAGCTCAGTGAGATCCAAAAATCACGAGGCCTGGGGTAGGGGAGGGTAACTCAGTGCTCCCTGGGTTTGTTCCCTAGTACCACAAGTGGGGTGGGGTGGGGTGGGCACAGCTACTCTGAACAGTTTGTGTGCAGTTCCCCTCTGTGCCAACTCGCCCTGGAAACACTGGGTTGTTCTATACTTCGATGCTTTAGCACTGCATTTCCCTGAAATTCTCCATAGCTCATTTGTGTCCGTTCTCGATCCTAGCACCTTTTTGCTTTGTGTCTCCATGGTATTTATTAAGAGAAAGGCACTTGGATAAGGAAAAGAATCAACCAAGGAGCACGTTCATCTTCCTTGGGGACCGTCCAACTCTCGTCCTTAAAAATTAGGATGGGGGGGCAGAGATTTAGCTAAGTGGTTCTGCTGCCTGCCTTGCAAACACAAGGTCCTGAGTTCGATTCCCAGTACCAAAAAAAAAAGGATCAGGAATGGGATAAAATAATATTAGAATTTTAAAAAATTGGGATGGGAAAAAATGATTCATTTCCTAGCAGCTGCCTACAAAGTCAGAGTTGCTGCTGCTGGATGCAGAGCCGTAACCGCCCCACGGGATGGGCACAAGGGCTGGTGTGACAGACAGCAGGTTCCAGGGACATCTGCTCCAGAGTGTCTGCAAACATGGCCGGGGGCTATAAACTGCTCACCTTCACCTATCATCCTAGCATTCCAGAGGCTGAGGCAGGAGGATCTCTGTGAGTTTGAGGTCAGCCTGGGCTACACAGTGAGACCCTCTCAAAAAAGCAAAAAAAAAATTTCCAAAAATATATTTATTATTTGTAGGAGCTGAGAGTTTCTGTTTTGGTTTGTTGGTTTAGTTGTTATTTTTCAATTCATTGGCTAGAGTTTTATTTTCCTAGTTTAAATATTACAACTTAGAATTTCTGTTAAATCTGCTTCCTTTAACTTATTTGTAAAAGGAAAAAATCCTAAGGTACCACAAGCCCCAGGAAAAATTGTTTAGACTCAGCTGTTTTTTCATTGTGTACAAAACTTTAAAGTAATGAGGAACTGAAATTTTAGGCAGTTTAGTAACAGAGCACTAAAAATTACTGTCAGGAGAGAGTCCATTTTTCCAAAAAACTAGCCCTTTTGAAAGCAATGTAATGTAATGCCTTCACAAAATTATTGCCCTGCTCATGTGGAGAAGAAAAATCTCTTACTGCTTGTGCCCAACCTTTACAGTCAAAATTAGTTCACTTCAGCTGGGCATGGTGGCACACACATGTAATCCCAGCACTCAGGAGGCTGAGGCAGGAGGATCACTGTGAGTTCGAGACCAGCCTGGGCTACATAGTGAGTTCCAGGTCTGTCTCAACTACACAGTGAGACCCTGTAAAAAAAAAAAAAAAAAAAAAAAAAAAAAAAAAGTTTATTTGTTTGTTTTGTTTTGTTTTTTTGAGACTGGGTCTCCTGTTAGATCAGGTTGGCCCTGAACTCCTACACAGCCCAGGCTAGCTTCAAACTCACAGCGATCCTCCTGCCTCTGCCTCCCAAGTGCTGGGGTTACAGGCGTGTGCTACCATGCCCAGCTCTTTCTTTGTTTTGAGACAGAATCTCACCTTGTAGTCCAGGCTGGCCTTGAAATCACTATGTAGCCCATGGTGGCCTCAAGCTTGGGGCAGTCCTCCTGCCTCAGCCTCCTGAGGCCTGTGCCAGGATTACAGGCGTGTACCACCATGCCTGGCCATTATAGTGTTTACCGTTTATTCTGGCAAGTTATTTCACCTCTGAGGACTCTCTCCTTGTCCATAAAATGAAATTACATTTTCAAAACAGAAAAGTTGTATCAAATGATTCATTAGTCCATGTGTCAAAATAATTACGACTCTGCTTGGTGTTTCTCTCAAGGGAAAAAATATCCTTATTTATTTATTCCACACTAATTAAAACTAATGTGTACTGGAAAATCAGATCAGTGGGCCCGAGTACTGTGGCTCTTGAAAGCCTGCAGAAGAAAAGCTTAGGGAAATACGTTGCAGCTAATGGTGGACCGGAGAAAAGAGTTTACAATTAAGATTTCCAAATGTGCAGTATTTTACCGAACTCTGTACAAACATTGCTGCTTTTGATGAGAGAAATTTATAGAAAAGGCTCAGAGACTCCAGTCAAACGCTGAAGTGTCTCTATGAAGTCTCCTTCTTACGGCATGAAACGAGGGACCGTTCACCATAGCACTACGGGTTTAAACATTGAGAGAGTCTGGGCGTGGCAGCACACGCCTCTAATCCCAGCACTCAGGAGGCTGAGGCAGCAGGATTGCCCATGGGCTACTAGTGGGTTCAAGGCCAGCCCAAACTAATAGAGACCCTGTCTAAAAAATAAAAAAATTTAAAAAAAAGATAAACATGGAGAGAGGCATACATACCTACGTGGCAGGGGGAATGTGAGTGTTTAAAGTTCAAAGTCCAGAAAACACAGCGGGGGAAGTGACCCTAACTTCCCTGGAGGACCTCAGTGCCGCAGGTTTGGAACGGAAACTGGCCAAGCTTTCTCCAGAGGCAGAAAGCTTCTTATGCTCGCCGAGGACCGGGGCTGCCCTGCCCCTGGCGGCCCCCAAGGCTCCCCGTGGACCCGGGGCTGGCCCAGGGCCTTCCTCCTCCTGTCTCAGGCTTCGCCCGGCCGGCCCGTGACTCTGCCTGCCGCTGTAGGGCGGAGAGGCTGAGACGCATCTGCAGGCCATGAGGCCTGGAGCTGTCCCTGGGAGCTGGGACGAGGAAGCGGAGCTCTGCTCCAAAAGGAGCGGCAGGGCCCTTCGAGCATCACGCACCTCCAGCTTGTGACTTCTAAAAATAAGGCGAAGTCCCAGTGACATTTAGCAGGCGCTCCCTGCTCACTGCTCTCCTGGAGACGGAAATTTACCTCCCGCCCAGTGTGAGACAGCCCACAGCCACGGAATCGTATCCCACTGCTATAGGGTTTCGGAATTAGAAACTTCAGAGTTCCACGGAGTGATTTCTCTTACTGGTCTGTATGTCGGTAATTGTGACGCTCTGTGTCTCCGATAAAATCTGGAATTGTTTTGCCAAATTAGTGAATGGCGAGATCAAGTTGAAAATTCGCATATTTCTGACATCTTTTATTTATTCCTAGATGATGAACTATTCAGCAAGTGAAGAGAACCCAGTGACCACTGATGATCGGATTGCCCAGCAATAGTGATCTGTGGACCTGCAGTAACGTGTTCTTGACTTTTTACCAGTAGAGTTTGACTTTTTAAATCAACTTTTGAATTGACATTCTGAAAGCATTTTTGGTGACATGTTTGCAAATATATATTTCTACAAGCTGGTACTGACAATTATATCAGAAAGAATTAAAATACATTTACTTTTAATTATATTAAAGTTGTGCCTTCACATTCAATAAAAGCATACAGTGTGTGTAATTTCCAAGATGTATTATATACACTATGTATTTTTTAAAATTCCTTGTCCCACCCCTGTACTTTCCTTACTGAAATGTCTCCTTCAGCTTTAATGACAGATCAAAATATAATTGTCAAAGCAAGTTTCTGCACAGATTTTTTTGTTAAAGAATTGTGCATGTTTTATCCCCCACTGAGGAATAACAGACCACCAAGACGGCAGCTGTTCAACAGGGGGAGCCCTTATGTCATGCTGAGGTTATAAATATACAATTTGGGAATAAATGTAAGCATTTTTGGAACAAGTTAGTAAAAATTACAACCATTTTTTAAACTTGGGAAGCTAAATTACCTCAGGCGTACAACATTTGAATGCTTTTCTAGGTATAGAGAAGCATAAAGTGTAGAGGTATCTGTGAGAGGGAAATGGAATGTGGTTCACAATATACCATCATTTTCTTGAAGATACAGCTTTCATTTCTCTCTCTCTGTTTTTGTTTTTTTGTTTTTTGTTTTTTTTGAGACAGGGACTCGTGATATAGTTCAGGCTGCCTCGAACCACTGTGTAGCCCAAGTAGGTCTTGAACTTGCAGGGATCCTCCTGCCTCAGCCTCTAGAGTGCTGGGATTACAGGCTCTCGCCACCACGCCTGGCTCGGCTTTCATTTCCTTACTTTCAGTTTCACTTTGGTCTTTTGCATCTTTGAAATTTGATTCTATTGATGCTGAACTTTGATCTTTAAAAAAATTTTTTTTTTTTTTTTTGGTCAAATCCTAAATACCTATGGCTTCTTGTTTGAGAGGCGCCTCCTTAACAGTTCCCACCCTTCCCTGTGGGTCACTCCAGCTAACCGTGAAAGTACCGGTGGAAGATGGCAGCTCAGTGTTCCCGTGTACGGCGTGAGTACATCAGGCCAGTTAACCATCCTGATAACGTCCAACTTTGAAAAGCTTTTCTCATTCTTTGCAAAAATCTCAGGTGTAGCCTTCACTGTGACCCTTGTAGTCAGAGATCAAGTTATCTTTTCATGATCTTTTACCTTCTCTACGAAAGTCCTAAATGGCAGGTGATTGCAAAAGCAGCAGGATTTTTGCATATCTGTGTAAATAAATAATGAACAAAATATGTGCACAGATCTACTGTTTTGTCTTAAGGCCAATTCAGCTTAGTAAAAGATAAAAAATAGGCATGGTGGCACATGCCTGTGATCTAAGCATTCTGGGAGGCTGAGGCAGAAAGATCGCAAGTTTGAGCCCAGCCTTGGGCAACTTAGTGAGACAAGGAAAATAGAAAAGGGAAGGAAGGAAAGGGAGGGAGGATAAGGAAAGGAAGGAGAAAGACAAAGAAAAATAAAGAAAAGGAAAAGGGGATATAGCTCAGTCCAAAGGCCTGAGTTCAATCACTAGTACTTAAAAAAAAAGCTGAGTACGGTGGTGCATGTCTCTTACCCGAGGACTCTGGGAGGCTGAGGCAGGAGACTCAAATACAAGCCAGGCTAGTCATTTAGTGAGACCCTCAAAAAGTCTGGGCATGTGGCTCAGTGTGAAAGCTCTAAGTTTAACCTCTACTACCAAAAACAACAGAACAAAGCAACACAAAAAACTAATGCTTTTAAAAATGGATCAGACCTTCGATATTTAAACTAAATTTAGTATTAGATGCTTTTGTTTAATTGTTAACCTTTGCCAAGTAGATTGCAAATAGAGAAGCTGCGTTGACAGCCCCTCTTTCTATTTAATACAGTTATGGGTCCTTTTGCTTATGGCAGATGCCTTTCTGATAAGTAAGAGTTAATCTTAATTTTCTTCCATTATATAAAGTTTGATTTTTTTTCCCAAAGAGCCTAATTTATTTGGCAGACTCTGATAGAGAAAAGATTAAGTGCCATTTTAAAACTCTGACTATATTTTCATTTATAATAATGTCAGTATTATGCTTGCCAAAATGCAGCTTTTTTAGTAAAATTATCTGCACTCTCATCTAAGCTTTATGAAACTCAAGAGCCTCGACCACCTTTTATGAAGTTACTGGGTTTTTTGTTTTGTCTCAACTACATTGAAATAAGACAATTTCCCGAAGTAATTCTGTTTCATTAGGGACTGATATCTTAATTCCTTATGCTAGATTTTAGATTTTACTCCAAGGAAATACTAACTGGTGTATCTAGAAATCCAAGTTAGTTGGTACAGCTTCTGCTTTATCTAGCTGTTAAACATTAGGGAAATCAACCTTGGTCTGGTTTGCTATTAAGCTCTTAGCCGTGGCCCATGGGTAGAGCACTGGCCTGTCACGTACCAGGCCCAAGATCTGATCCCCAGCACCAAGTGAAAACATACAGAACTCTAACTGGCTAAGCAGAAAAACATAATAGAAAATGCAGTTCCTAGAGTCAGCCCACAATATCACCTTTATATTGTGCCTAAATTATCCTCCTAGTAACCTAGTTGAAAATAGTTATTTAAAAAAATTAAAGTATAGAAATACTTTTATATTGAGAGTCAAAATGAACAAAATGTAGGAAAATAAAAATTTGACTCTTCTCTGTTTACCTACCGTCCATGACTTGAAGAAGAAAAGCTGAGTTTTTCTTGACCATGTCTTAAAAACAGTAAATATGTCATATTTATGAATACTTACAGAAAAATTTATCTCTTAGGAAGTCCCTATGAACATTTTGTGACTTATCAAATAGAAATCACTAGGGCCGGGGATTTAGCTCAGTGGTGCTGCCGCCTGCCCAAATTCGATCCCCGGTACCAAAAAAAAAAAAAAAAAAAAAAAAAAATCACTAAATACCTCAAGTTATAATGTACATCATTTTCCCATCAGTTTAGTTCAGCCAAAATAAATATATTCCCTGCTGCTCGGCGGAGTTGTTTCTAGCTTGTAGATTTTCTTTGATTATCAGCTCCTTGTCAGATGGGTCTGCAACTTACTGGTCTTTTAGAAGAAGAGAATTTTGGCCCATAAGGCATTTTCATTTATATATTTTAGTTATATCATAGCGACTGTGGTGGAATCATATGTAATCAGCCTTCCAGTTTTCCTTGCTCAAATACAATATTTGCTTAAGTATAAGCAAAAAGCTTTTATATATTGAACTAAAAATACTTAACTGTTGTCTTTAAGCTTGATTTCCAAAATTTTAGCCTGCTCTCAGCCAGTGAAATTTCAGAAACATGACAATTGTGTCGCAAGCTGGTGGGATACACCAGTTTGAAGAGGCTTTGTAGTTTCCATGAGGAAGAAAAAAGGCTGAATTTATTCAAGATGACTCAAAATAAGCAGTTCTGCAGCCTAAAATTTTAGTGCCCTATTCAGGATAATCTAAAGGGGGCAAGGTTAATATAATATTGAATCTAAATCACTTTATGTTTTCTGGAAGAAAAATACTCTGGATTCAGTGGATCTGGATCAAATTCTTTACCTCTTTGGAATATGTCTCTCTACTGTTAAAGAGTACTGTGCTTAGAATTTTTAAAACATTTGACAGAGTAATATATAGGCTGCTATATAGCAAAGACTATAAATGTAAATTTCCTTGTTTACTGTTTCTTTAAGACAGCCTTTGCATTTAAAAATGTTCATTAGAGCCAGGCGTGGTGGCGCACACCTGTAATCCCAGCACTGGAAAGGCTGAGGCAGGAGGATCTCTGTGAGTTCGAGACCAGCCTGGGCTACATAGTGAGTTCCAGGTCAGTCTCAACTACATAGTGAGACCCTGTCTCAAAAAACCAAAAAAAAAAAAAAAAAAAAGAGAGAGAGAGAAAATGTTCATTAGAGAACACATTATTTTTAAAACAAAATTTTAAGGTCACCCTTATTGTCAAGTAAGAGGCAACTAGAAGAAGGCAGAGTATTTACTGTCATTGTGTGGTTCCTTGAAAGTATCATAAATAATTTTTCTACTATGGAATGTAGATTTTTTTATATCTAAAGTTTAGTTAATTTGTGACATTTCCCAGTAGGACAGGTTAATATAAATTAGTTTTTGCCATTTTGTTTTACTTTCTGTTTTTTGTTTTTACTTTTCTGTTTTACTTTCTGTATTTTGCTCAAATGAGAACCTTTTATAAAATGCATGATTGGATTTTTACCTTTTTTTTACATGATTGCTTTGAGCATGGGATTTTTTAGATACTTTGATATGTAAGTTAGTGTAAATTCTTTTATAACACTACAAGGCTTTATTTTTTTATGGAATATGATTTCAAGTTTAGAATATTTTGAAGCATTAATTTATAGCACTTTATTCACAGTGTGCCGATACTAACCAGAAAAACAATTTTTAATGTGTTGACTTCATTGTAGTATTCAATAAATTCTATTTTAAAATAAAAGTTGAATTTGTCTTATTTTGTGTGGTAAAAAAAATTGAAAACAACACAGAAGTGTTCTTTGTTTTTTGTTTTTATTTTTGTTGGGTTTTGGGTTTTTTGGTTTTTTTTGTTTGTTTTTGTTTTTTGAGACAGGGTCTTACTGTGTAGTTGAGACTGACCTGGAACTCACTATGTAGCCCAGGCTGGTCTCGAACTCACAGTGATCCTCCTGCCTCAGCCTCCCAAGTGCTGGAATTACAGGCATGTACCACCATGTCCGGCACCTTTGGCATTTTCTTTTGTGGGCTTCCACTAAATTTCAGAGTACAAATAATGGTAAAAATGTATTGAGTTCATTATTTTGTTGTTAAGAGGTATTCATGCTGAGACAGGAGCGACCACAGAGGGATAAACAACTGGCCCTGCAGGATCACGCCCTACAGTCGGTAAGCTGCTGCCCTTTCTTCAGCAGGAGGTTGGAGGCACAGGCTCACCCTGTGCTCTTTTTAACGGGTCCATCAGGGACTGGTGAAACCACAGAAATGATATTTACACAAAATGAAGGGACTGTTACCAGAAAATCCTAAGAAACCCTCTGGCTTCCCCTGCCCTTGGCTGACGTCAAATCACTGACTTTGAGGGGCGTCACTGGCTGCTGTGGATTAACACTTTGGTTGTGTGGTTGTGACAGCAGGTCCTAGATTACTTCTCAGCCATCTGAGAGCCAGGTGCTTTGGGGGTTTGGGGTTTGAGGGCTTTTTTTTTTTTGTAGCACTAGGGATTGAACCTTGGAATCTGGTACTGAGCTATATCTGTAGCCTTTATTTTATCTTATTTTTGGTACTGGCTACTTGTGCTTGCGAGGCAGGAAGGCGGCACCACTGAGCTAAATCCCTGACTCTCCAGCATTTATTTTTAGGGTTTTGAGGCAGGGTCTCACCAAGCAGCTGAGTTGCCCTGGCTGGGCTCGAACTTGGCCACTCTCGCTGAGAACCCTGAGCCCTCACGTGGGCCTGCAGATGTCTGATGGGCAAGGAGCAGAAGAAGGCCGGGTGACTCTTGCGTCTACACCTTGGTGCCTTTGCCTTCGGGTCCTGTGATGCTCAGCTCTACCTGTGTGTTGGTTGCCTGCTTGCTGGTCTGCTGCTTTGCTGTCTCTTCCCTCTCTTT